TCATAAATTTTTATCCGAATTTTATGTATCATTAAAAAAACTTAATGTGATATCACTGTTGAATTTGCATTTTCCTTACCTTTATGAAAAAAAACTTTATAATAAAATTTATTTTTTAAATAAATCTAAATCTCAGTAAAATCTGTTTTGTGACTGATAAACTGAATACGAGGGTAGAATTCTTATTGTTCACTACATTGATTTCCTAATATGCAGTAGTAATCAAGGGGATATTACTTTTGAATATTTTTGTATTGAGTGCAATTTTCAATTTGTAAAAATTGCCTTTCATTTTTTTCAATGGATTTTTTGTGTATATATTTTTCTTTAACAAAGTATGTGATATATAGAATGTGATTATTACTTTTCTTTTTTAATAATAGGATTAATATTATTTTGAAATTTAAATTCCTTAGAAAAAAAATATATATATATAAGTACTTAATCGTGTTTAACATTAAAACTTTTAGGTTTTGGAAAGCAGTGCAATATCAATGTATTAAATATTTTATTTCTTATATTACTGAATAAACAAGAAAAAAATAATACATTATTTTTTTACTTGCATTATGTTAAAAACATCATAGTGCTGGAAGAAAAATTTTCTAAATGGTTTATTTAATTAATAAAGAATAATTACATAATATCCTTGAAATCCCTTGACAAGTATCAAATAATAAAGATGTACTGTATATGAACTTTTTGTAATGATATTGTGAAATGCGATGTAACTTTTTAATGATTTTTAAAATTTTGTTATTGTAATGTCTTATTGTAATCAGCATCATTCAAAAAACAAATTATGTAAATTCAATTGAACAGCTAAATACTAAACATTTTTTTAATGATATACAATTTTTCCTGCGGTGTCCCAAAATAGTAATTGTTAAATAATATGCAAATAGCATGTATGTGTATATATAAATGGTTTCAACTAAGATATATTTTTTTTATTTAACCACAATGAATATTAAAATCTGTATATTTTGCTTAGAATATTTGTTTCCATATTATATTTTTAAAAAACTTTTTTTTCTCCCTCCATAGTATAATAAAGGAAATTGGCCAAAAGTTGTACTGTATTTCTTAAGTGAATTGCTCTATTTAAAAAATAGCAAATGGAATTGTGAAAATCTTACCCAAAGAGAATAAATGTTCAGTTATTCATTAGTCATGTTTTTGTTCAATATTTATTTAAATAAAATCATTTTTATGTACTTTTTAATGGATAATTATTTTAATTCATAACACAAAATGATTATCTTTTTTTTAATATAATTTGTATGAATTGTGGTACAGAACAAATTTTAAGGTGAAACATCCTGCGGCGTTGTACCAGAACATTCTCTATAATGAATTGGTTGATTTATATGTGGTGTTGGGTGATGGTTGGATCAGAGCATCTTCACTACCAAAAACAAAAGGAGCTTCTTCAATCAAGTAAGCAACACAAAATTGAAATGTCATTGGTGTCTAAAAAGAAATTGAATTTATTATCTACTGTGCTACTGTATCCAAAAAGTAAGACAAATTTTCAATTAATTCCCGGGACTTATGAAATTTCAATTTTTTTTTTCTTTTCTAGGTTGCTAGGTTCGTGCGTTTTTTTTTAATTAATATATTTGTCGAAGGAGGAAACGATTTTAAAAAGTAAGAAGGAAAAAGGAACACTGAGAATTACAAGCGTTATCTGTAATGCATTTGCGTGTAAATTGAATTTATTTATTAAAAATTTTGGACGAAAGGAAAAAAAATGTGCTTTTTTAGGTCACTTTTTCGCATAAACAATATTTTTGTTTTTGTTAGCATAAAAGAAATTAATTAGCAAAGCAGAGCAATTCACTGTTAATTAGAAATCTAAATTTTAAATCGCTGAATTGCTACTGTTAAAATATAAAATAAAAAATATCAAGTTTCATATAGTAAATATGTAGGTTTTTTTTTTAAATTATATAAAATGAACATATTTTAATATAATGCTTAAAATCTGAGCTTCATTCATTCATTAGAAGTATAACCTCAACAGTCTATTATCCAGTTTTATAAATGCATGGAAAATAGCGATTGGCAAAAAAGAAAAAAAAATTTTTCTTTATGTACTTAATTGGTGGAAAACGAAATTATTTTCTTGCTTATTTACCCAGTAATTGGAAAACTAATCATTCACTGGAGTAAATGTAATTGAGCTATAAGCTAAAACTATGGCTCATCTATGTAATCTGATAAAAAGGAATAAGATTTTGTGATGTGCATAACTATAATTTACTTTAAGAGCTTTCATTTCCATTTGTCGTAGATACAAACAGCGCTAATTGACCATGGTACTTCTTAAATACATAGTATTTAATAATTCATCAAGAGGAATTAATGAACATCATTTAAATTTGCGGCCAAATTGCAAAATAGAGGCGTTGCGATTTGGCACCAAATGAGCGATAAGTAGCCAAATATGAAAACCCGGAATTCTTGTTTACTTTGCAATTCATTTCACTTAAAATTGCAACCTTTTTCTTGTTACACTTCAGCGAAAACAATTTTTGATTCCAAATCCCAGAGCGGTTTCTATTCTGACAAATGAAATGAAAAATAATTGTTTAATAATTTGCTGAGAATTTTGTTTTGCTTCTACCGCCTCATGCTTAATACTTCCAACTTAGATGTAACATTTTTTAATATATCTATTTGGTTTTTCGTAGTCATGCAGAATGATATTTTAAGTTTGAATCGTATTGAAAATTGCATTATTATAATCGAAAATTCAAATGTTAAATGAAAAAGATTCCTGTATAATGCTTCATAATATTTTTGGATTTGAATGAAAATTATAGTCTCCAAACGAATTCAAAAAATGAATCCATGGTGACTGTTCTGCAGCATTCCAATGTAAAATGCCAAACGACTGCTCGTTTAGATTATTTCTATTCCGTTAGCATTGTCCTTTTTCACAAAGCGATTAAAATGAATATATTGTGCAATTTTGAATTGCTTTTTAAAGAATATTTCTGATTACATTGCATAAATTCATTAATGGAAAATTACTTCTAGAACAGAATTCTTAATTTTTTTTACCTGGTTGATAATTTTTTCGGGATTTTTGATAAGAGCTTCAGCGAAAAATTCAGACAGTCTATGAGCTGCTGCTGCTTGCAAGTCTTCATCACAGTGAATCATGACTTCATGCAACGTCATTAAAAGTTTAGCAGAAAAATTACGAACATCAGGTGTGAAATTCTTAAATATTCTGCAAAATAAAATGTTCTTTTTTTAGAAGTAGTTTTATGATTACTTTCTTGTTAAAGAATCTTACTATTCCGATTCCCAAAAATTAAGAATATATCAGAAAAATTATGATTACACAGCTAAAACTTTGATAAAATGCTTATTTCATATTTCGCTGTATACTTGAAAGGTAATGATGCATCAGAATATGTTATGCACGTTAGTTTAATTATTCCGTTTATTACCATAGAACGCGTTTTAAAAATGTCTGCAAGTAGAAACTGTGTGATTAAATTTCGAGATAGAAGTACTTTAAAGATATGAAAATTGGACATCATTTATAAGAATTATGATAGTGAAGCATTAGACAAATAAAATCTGGCTAGAGTTAATTCTATATAGCAAGATGGTTAAATGCGAGCCCATTTGTAATTTATAGATTGCGAAATGCATTTCTAAGAAAAGAGTAAGCTCATGTAGAGCTGCAAAGGACCGCTATTTGCAAGGAGGCGCAGAACCGCTATACCAACCCACCACAGATCTCCTTTTGTAACAGCCACTGTAAGGCTGGTACTCAAATGAAAAATTACACGGGTGTTACTGTGTGCAGAAGGCTTTACAAAGGAGGGCTATATTCAAATCAAGCATTCTGTGTACTACCCAAATTAAAGGTTTCAGTGGACATGCATATATGCCACTTATTGTGCATATAAATGCATTCTATTAAAATCAATCTTTATGGCCGACACGTTCTCCAGACTTGAATCCGTTTGAGAAGCTCTAGGCTGACGTATCTAGAACTCTCTTCAAGGTATTCAAATTTCCTTAATACGTCAACGATTTTGATAATAACTGAGTTAATAATCATGACCATTTTGAACATGGAGCAAGACTATATAGCTGTTAAAAGGATCACACTCCAAAACAATATTTTTTGGTATGTTTCCATTTTGAGTATTTTCTAGTTAAACAATAAGCCTATTGTTTTTTTCTGCATTTTGTTAAATTTCGGTGAATAAAAAATTTAAAAATCACTATTTTTTTTATTTTATTTATTGTTTATTAATTTATTTAGAAAATAGTGTGCATGCAATTCGAATTTGAAAAGTAATGAATTAACATATTTCCATTTGCAAATTTGAATTATAATTCTTTAATCCGGCACATTTGCGATTACGGCTGTGCCGGATTGTTGAGCATTAATATTGTTATAACGAGAATGCCAAATATAAATCACTTTAGATAAAAATTTAAGCGATTAAAACATGTACGTATTTAATGTGTTTTTGCCCATTCTAAACCTGTGTAGAACAATATTACAGACAGAGAATAGTAGATTATTAATATATAGAACTTGTGTAAACCAAAGTATTTCGTCATTAAAAAATCAAAATTCATACAATGGAGATTAATTTAATTGAATATTATTGCATTAATAAAAAAACCAGCACAAAAAAATTAATACTGTGAAAATTAAAACAAGTCGTAAGATGCTATTTTATTGTTGTTGTTGTTTCTTATCCCACTTGGCTGACCAAGCCCACGAGCCCATATGGACTCATGATTGAAGGGGAAGGAAGCAGCTTCTGTTGTGATGGAGCACCCGTAGGTAGAAGCCTGACTCCGTGACGCTCTTACAGTCATAGAAGACCGGGACCTACGGCTTAAAGTGGATTCCGAACCACTACAAACATCCATGGCACCGCCGGGATTCGAACCCGAAACCTGTGGCACCGAGCGCCAGAGCGCTAGACACTCGGCCATTCAGGTCCCAAATTTGCCAACGGCACGCAGTGTTCCCAGGTGGTCACCCACCCAAGTACTGACCGCGCCCAATGATGCTTAACTATTCCTTTAATTTCGGTGACTTTTTTTTTTTTTTGTAACTTTGATCTAACGAGAACCGGTATATTCAGCATGGCAAAGGGCTCGACCACCAGTACGGCCGTTGGCACATCAAGTCACCAATAATAATATTTTATGGTAAGACAAAATAAACGTGAGAGTTACTCTTTAAAAAAAGGTGTCTTTTCTGTGTTTCCATCCACGTAACAGTTATTCATAAAAATCCTCCCGGAAGATCCTTTTTTTTTTTTTTTAAATTCCTTCTATTAGCTATAGAAGCTACACTCTCACTAAGCTCACACTCTCCCTCTATATATCTTGTTGAAATTTTCAATCATTAATAGAATACTTTTTATTCATCCACTCAAGTTCAAATACATTTTTTTGAACTTGTAGTGGATGACACGTGATGTTAATACAGTTTTTTCAATTATTAATTCATTAATTAAATTTAGTTAATTAATTTTAGTTTTTTTTTTTTTTTTTTAGATTTAAATTGCATCTATCTAAAAATAGATGGCGCCAGATAAACTTAAAGAAATGAATGAAAATTATTTATAAAGGACTTTATACAGTACAGTGAAAAAAAAGTAGGAATTGACTTTAAAAATTGTTTTCTTTTATATTACTTGTTTTCTTCATCACCCTGTACCCTAGGGCTGTTCGTGGTACATATAAGATGGAACATGATGTGCAACAAAAACAAATAAATCGTAGAACATCAAAAAAATGTTCGTGAAGCATGCTTTAATATAAGAATTTGAATGAGATCATGATTTCTGAATAAGATAAATAGTTTTTGTATTTGTGTTTTAAGCCGATAAAATATTTATGCAGGATTTAATTATTCAAATTTTTCTAAAGGATTGAGCAATAATAATAATATTGAATATTAATCGAAAAGGCCTTGATAAAATCATATCTTTTTAATTAATTCTCCCGTATGGAATTAGTGTTAAATTGAATTTTGAAAATAATAATACTCCCTAATTTTGAAAATAATAATACTTAAGTGCTTCCATTCTGGAGTTATACATCGACTTGCTTTCGATATCAGTACTCTGATCTCGATCTCGCAAAATTTTAGCTAGTGTTTTCCAGTCTTCCGGTTGTGTGCTTGACCATAAGGATTTTGGTAAAGATTTTAAATATTCCTTTAGAAAATAGAATAAGAGATAAAAATTAAGAATATTTTACAAAATCAGTCTTAAAAAAATTAATTTTTGGACAAAGAGACGTATGTTTGTTAAATTTGTAAATGTTTGTATGTAAATGTTGTTTGTAAATGTTTATTTTAAATGCAATTTTTGATATTCAAACTCACTTGAATGGCAGCCATTGCTATAACTGGGGAAATGATTTTCTCATCCAATGACTTCCAGCCTCCTGATTTTAATTTCGCTAACAGTATCTTGATCCGCATTTCATCTGCATTGTTGAATGCGAAAGGGCACAAAGGGTCCATTCGACCCTCGGTGTATATGTAATATAATAGTGCCTAAAAAGAAGTAGTAAAAAGAAGCAAGAAAACAACGAAAAGATAAAAATTATTGTAATTATAATACAATGCTGTTGTTCTAACGCAGCTGGTAATACATAGACAGTTAATCTTTAGGAGAGAGTGCCAGGGTGTTAGTTAATCTATCTCATCAATGTCAGCCGAATTTCGCTCTACAACACTGGTTCTCAAAATTGACAATGCCGCTCCATAGAGGGCGCAGGAACTTTAAAGTGGGTCATATTAGCTTTGGGCGCATTTAGGAAACGTTTATTAAAACTTAAGGCTCGTTCTTACCGAGGCGAGAAGCGTTTAAGCGACAAGAGTTGACCCATCACTAACCTCGCCGCGTTCGCCTGAAACCGGTTTGAAATGCACCGCTTCGAGTTGATCCACTTTCAACTCGAAGCGGAACTTCACTAGGCGTAATGCTATTTCTGACGTTTCGCTGTGATGGGGTCGAAGAAATTGTCTTGCCTGCCGCCTCGGTGGAAAGGAGCCTTTAGGGGGCCAATGAAAATATAAAGAAGGAAGAAAAGATGCCTGCAGTTTAGTACGAACTTTAATACAAAAGTGTTTAATTGCATTTCATTCGTTATATTTTGTAGAAATTGATTTTAGTGGGGTTAAAAATATAAAATCGACACCATGTAGTGAATTATGGTTATTTAAGTATACTGTTGAAAAGCGTAGAGCCACGCATGAATTAATTGATTATAGCGCTTCGAGTTAATTCTTCTTATTAGAGTAATTTTTGATGTTATTTGAGATTCTTATTTTCACATTTTTCTTAGCTATCTTAATTTTATATGCCTAATAAAAATGTTTCTGTGGGTGATATTAAAGATTTTTTTTAATAATTTTAAACCTAAAGGTGTCTTATTTATAACACTTTTACTTATGTTTCAAAACGCAGGTAGATATATAAATGTATAAAAAAAAAAATCTGCGACAATATCTTTCTATTCGTTTGTTTAAAGAAAGCAATTGTGAAAGAGGGGGTCTCCGAGTAATTTTTTTAGGGGGAGTGTAGTATTTTTTCTCACTAGTGTTTTGCACTAATGAAAACAACCTGCCACTCAAATCTGATAGCAGATATTCGGTGTCATGGATAATGAGGCCTTCTGAAATAGTGATTGTCCGTGCTATCTTCACAGGTCGAAGCAATTACAGATGGAATATGGACTACACCATGAGTTGTTCCATCGTGATTGCTAATGAGCTGAGAAATGTCTTCTCCAATGAGAAGTAGGGGAAGCTCTTGACAGATTTTCTAAAAGGGGGAGTTTTGGAGAAAGAGGAGAGATTGTTTTTTTTTTCTTTTTCTCTGATGTGACTCAATAGGGAGTGTCCGCCCATTTTCCAAAGTGAGCCCCTTGTAGTTTTGTGTAACATGACGTGTGATAATTAAGGTCTGCCGCAGAACAGGCAATTGGATTCGACGTAGACTCGAAAACTATGAAAGTCTCCGACCTTATTTGTGATCAAATTTATTGACATTTTTTTCATACCTTTGTATAATAATCTAGAGTTCATTATTTGCTTTATATATATATATGTATATATTAGTGCTTATAAATAAAAATGAACTTGAAACATCTTCTTGAAGCCGTTATAGGTTTAATGTAGGCCGAGACATTAAAGGGTGGTAGAACAAAAACGATTGGGAAAAACCGCTCAACTATTTCGTAATTGGAAATTTTGTTTTACTTCTTTCTGTTTCCAATGACTATTTTTCAGATTTATGCCACTAGATATTTGGAGTTTAGCTACTTATTAGCATCATTAGCATATTGTACCTGTACATCATTAGTATAATTGTAGCTCTCTTCATTCGCAAGTTATTTAAGAATAAAAAGACTTTCGTATACACTCTGTATATACTTATTCGCATTCACTCCAATTATACACTAATATATAAGTATTTCATTAATTTAAAAACAAATTTATCTGTGAATTAATATTGGCTAATATGCAAATTAATGAGTTGTGGAACAGACGAATTGCCGTTCAGGTAAATCTTGCATGAAAAATTCAGAATAATTAAATTATTCTTATCGAATAATTAGGTCAAAAGAAGAATCTATATTCAAATACTATTATGTAATAATCCGAATCCTTAATTGAAATTTGAAGATGATAACAAATAATTTGATCATTAAAATATAGAAAGTATTTTGATTCTATACTATACACTGAGTGGCTAAATAATTAGATACGCATAACGTCATCTGAAACCCTTACTTCATTAGTTCTCCTCTGTGTTGTATTAAATTATGTTGCATGTGAGTAATGCAATAAATCGTTTTTCCGTAGCAATTCGTGTATGCTCAATATTTTAAGTAGCGAAATTAAGTCCGTGGTTTTAGCCAAGTTTTTCACATATTCTGAGTATCCATTAATTGAATGTACAAGATTTCACTAATTATCCCCATAAAAAAATTCATCGATAGTAGTTTAAACTGTCTTTCACACTATACTTTCTGTAATATTATGGGAAAATTAAATCATTACTTCAAGTGCTGGATGAAGTTTTTCTCCTTGATAGGCTGATCTGCTGAATTTTACATTAAAATTTAACCTAAAAAGAAAAAAAAATTGCTATATACAAGGAACAATTAGAATTTTTTTTTTTTTTATTAACACAAAAATTTAAATGTATATGAACAAATACAAATAAATTGAAAAAAACTCCAACAAAAATTACATTAATTCCTCTGAATTATCTCTTACTAAATTAATTGAGCAGTAAATAAATAAAATTAGAATATTTATAAACAATCGAACTTCATTTTTACAGTAAATCTTGGTCAAATCGCAAAATAGGGGCAACAGGGGTTTGGCGATTTTTTGTGATGCTAAATGTACAATAATTCGCCAGGTTTGCAATTCACTTCCCTAACAATTACAACCAGTTACTTGGAGCGCCTTGACAAAAAGATTTCTTGAAGCCAAATCCCAACGGCCCCTATTCTGCGTTTTGGCTAAATCTTTTATATACCATTCTTTTCGTGGTATTATTGTGTAAATAACTAAATAAACCAATGAATTCTAATGCAAATATACCTAGGAATTTCTTCTGCATCTTGAAATTTGCTATAACCAAAAATTTTGTTTTTAATCACATTCATGACCACATTGTAAGCAGCTACTTCTAACTGATTAAAAATAAATTATTGCAATTTCAATATACTTTTTTGGATGCCAAACAAAGATTAAAAATATATTTAATTCAATAAATAAAATACTTCAAGCTTCATTAACACGTTCTGAAAAATGTAAAAAAAAGTTTGCTTATTGGATTTATACAGATTCTTTTAACCCAAATGTAAATCTGCTATTGCAAGAATCATTTTTCTGTTCCTCCGCACCAGAAAGATGATCTTTCAGTTGTTCATATAAAAGTAGAAGATGAAAATTCATTTTTATATAAGACTTTCGTTCATCCTTTCTTCGAAACAAACTATTGCATAACATATAAATGAGAATCTGCCGATTAATGTAGGTTGTTTGATAAGAACATTTGCACATAATGCATTTGTTTGTCGTTCTACGGTAATTTTGTACACACTTTTGACT